TGCCTTTAAGGCACAGTGTTTTTCTTTGTAGTCGCGATTTGGTCTCTTGTTTTTCAAAATATTGATCATCTATGTGTCTCACAATACTTTCTGAGAGTGCTTTCATACTTTGCTTCGTTCATACTTTGCGTCGATGTGAATGTGGCATAATGGGGAAGTGCGGAAAGTGCGATCCAGTGTATGGTGCATTATGTGCGTGTAGTCAGATGCCTCTTTAGTCAGACGCCAGCATAGTAATCGAAATCTAAACATCATCACATCGTCCCATACTGCTGTCCCTTTTCGCTTTTGTCGCACATTCCACGCATTCCGCACATTCCACATCGGCACAAAGTCTGAAGGTAGCCTAAATGGGTATTCAGCCGCACAAGAACGTGTTCACGCACGAAGAGTCGCGGTGTGCCTTGTAGGGATGAGCCTTAACACGTTGAAGACAGCCTACATTTTGGCTTTTTTCACCGCGTGGGACCGGAGCAGTTTTGGCGCCGCCACCTCACCTCACATCCTTGAATCTTAATCTGTAAGTGCGCAATACTTTGATGCGATAATATGTTCCCAACAAATCCAATGTGCTTAATGCGCTATCGCAAGATACGGGGCATCCTTCAAGAAACTAAGCCTATTAGGGAGCAGGCACTTCGGGGACAATAAAAATTGCTCATGCACCCTGAAGTCTCTCCTCCCTCGCCTGAGGCTTAGTCGGATATTAAGCAAAGCAGATGTTTTAGGCCCAAAAGTCTCCCTCGATCGATTGAAGCTTAGTCCCGATTTCAATAAAAGAAAATATTTCACGCGGTTTTGAGTGCGCTGCCACCACAACGCCCCAATATCTTGCGATAGCGCCGTGTTTGAATATTGGGAGGTACACGGTGGAAGCCCGACCAAATTGACGTGTTGTGGCAAAGGAAAGGCAAACTTTAGTCGCTTAGGTTGAAGGGCTTCAAAATTATTTTTAGCCTTGCTGTTTCAGTAAATTAAATTATATTAAGAAATTTTGACGTACAGGTTTGCGTTTACTTCTAATACCTTTGCATACATATACATGTTTATGAGAGTATAGAGAAAAACAGGAATGAGTCGAAGTGACAAATTCGTAGGGGTGGGAAAACCTTTGCTGAAGTAAGGCATATTTGAATAATTTGGACCTCGTCATTTATGATCATATTTTGTTTTAATTTATAAAATGAATTCAAAAAATATAATAGAAGTAGCGCAGCGCAAGAAATTGCATACATAGCTGCGCCTCGCGCCACGCTGTCCCGCACAGTGCTCAAAGGGCGAACCGCATACGCATCACGCTGTCGTCGACGTGTAAGAACGTGTGTGGCAGTGGCTCGTTGCGTTCAATGAGCCATGCACCATTTTATGAAGAAACGCCCGTTTATTTCAGTAATATTTGCTAAAAATATATTGTGCCATATCAAATACTAATTGTGAAGCGGATTAATATTGTATCCATTCAGGTGGTACAGAAGTGTTCGGCTCGTTCCGATCGGATGGCACAATGGGTGCAGGCGATTCTCAGGACAGCGGCTCGTTGAATGCAGCCACGCTTTTTCGGCATTGACAGGCGCGGGTGTACCAAGAGTAGAATGTTTGCAGAGCGACTCAATGTATAGGTCGGGCTAGTTCTAGGTTCTGCTGTACATGTTGCCTGTCACCTTGGCCGTCTCGCTAAGTGTCTTGTCTACTAAGTAGGTGAATCTTTCACTTTACTGTTAGGAGTTTGTAGCGATCTGCAGGTGTAGCCTTTAATGAGCTGACCAGACTATCAAGTGGGCGGAGGAGGACACTGAGAAGCTTGCGTTTCTGCGGCTGAGACCCTTTAAGAGCACCCGCGCCCCATTACTATGGAAGGTTAACAACAGGTTGTGCGAATACTTTTCATAGATGGCTACCTGTCTTGAGTAACTACTAGAGGCTGAGCTACCCTACTTGGGTCCCGGTTTTAGGGTCAAGGTTCGGCTTGAGTAGTAATTAGTATATAGTTACCCGTACCAGTACTGATTGTCAACATCGGGTGAACAATGAAAGAGAGCGATTAGCTCCGATTTTGATGCTCTTTAGTAGAACAGGCGGGTGTTGCCCACTTTAGAGTGCGCGTCGCTCAATTAACCGATTAGGGACAGACTGGAAATATTGAGAGCGTCAACGCCATGGGGGGGGCGGAAGCTCTTTTTCTTTTGCTCCTCGTCGGACTTGGAATAGAACCGCGCGTGCTTGAGGAGGAGTTGAGGAGATGGTGTGGGAGTGCAACTTATCTTCAATGGGTCGGTTTCACCACTTGATGGATTCGCCAAGACTTAAGAATGTAAGTGCTCGCCTCTCCATAAAATAGAATTGTAGGTAGAGAGCAATTATAAAGACAGCTAATGCGCAGGGACAGGGAAAAAAGCGTTCCTAACACCTGTCTTTCCTTCCCACGCCGATAGGAGGTAGGTTCACGTGCAACTCGCTGAAAATGTATCTCATCCGGTGCGAGTGTAATTCTAATACCTTCGTGCCTTTTGACGTTGCATGAGTGAGGGTTTTTTGTACTTTTTTCATCTTCAGACTGATTACATTGGAAATGTTTTGAGTGCTTGGATCCTCTCATAGACTCTCTCAATTGCTTCGCTCAAATAGTTCTCTGGCACGTGCTCGACCTCTCGCGCATCGCTCTCACACACCACTCACCTCGAGGAGGTTGGTGTCCCTAACTTCACTAGCCTTCGGAGATAAGACAGCAGGCGAGCGCGTTTGAAGGGATTTCCCTCATCAAGTGCATAGACTGCATTAGAAATTTTCTCCATTTTTTAGTTGTTCGTTCCTTAAACGGCTATAGCAATTTGGATGATGGTCACTGTTCACTTCTCCTCTCCTTAATATCTCATTTCAGGCATAGTTGATATCAGTAATGCTGACACACGTTCGCTATTTGAGACTCTCTGGTAATTGGTCGTTGAGAGCAATGAGTGCTGAGACCATGTTTGGGTATACGCCTCGTAGTCACATTGAATTCTCATGCCATTGGAAACATGGTAATGCAATGATCTATTGAATCCAAACTCTATCCTTGGTCTTCCTGCGTTCGAGGGATAAAAAATACTTCAGGCCCATTTTTTAACCATTCGCGGCAATGGCAGCCACCGGTGGCTGACGCGAAGATGCTCACTTGGGACCATTTCATCCACCGGTTGCCCTCATGGAAAAAGTTTCAGCACCAATTGTTGATTTTTGCCACTTCACCTCACTTCAAGAAAGGGTCGCGAGGGACAATGATGGCCACCGGTAGCTGCCACTTTGCGATCGTCTCAAACAAAGCTCGTCCGAACGGGCAGATTGAAAATCCTGCGCGGTCGCGAATGGGTTAAGCGAACCTGGTCGTTAGGTTTTGCCAGCTCCCGCCGCCATGAATGAAATCGTCTATGAACGTTTGGCGCTTCTATAGAATGGGGAGCTGTTGTCCTGGGAGCAGTTTCCTCAGAGAAATATCTTCTGTCGATCACCATGATCATAATAATTCGCTCAATCTTTCACATTTTAATTATCAGTCGGGAATAAGGTTTGATTGAAAACGGTGCCACGTTAGACGCGCGCGCAGTCAGGGAGGCACGTATTTCCGGCCAAATCTCGCACAGACAACAAGCCTTACCCTCTCTCCAGAAGTTTGGATTAATTTCACCCAGGCGTCGCATGTTCAGGCTAACAACAGTACTGTTCATCGATTGGGTTCAGCCGCAAGTCGTTGTATAGGCGAAAGTGCATCCACATTGCCACTAGGCCCACATTTTCTAGGTGTTATGATAGCCTCAGATCAGTCAAAATATAATCAAAAAGGTGCGCACCAAAAAATTGATCTATGCTTTGTCATTTTGATCCCATACCACATTCCAAACCTCTTCTTGAGGGTCTTACACTTATCAGGGAACGGGTGGTTCACTCGAGATTTACGTAACGTTTCGACCACATTTTTCTCGCATTTGGAATTCCGCTGAAAGCTGTTTTTTGTAAGAATTGATCCGAGCAGGTGTGGAAATAAATGAATAAAATTCAAATTGTGATAGTTTGGCCTTTTCAGAGTTGAACTGCATGGGGATTCAGCGGAGCGAGAACGTCTGTTGCGCTTCTTCTCAGCACGATATCACCAAAGCGATCCGAGTCTTTTCAAAAGCGTCGGTAAGGTTTCTAACTCGTTTTTCGCTTATAAAATATTTTATATTTCAGTATATTTTTTAATATTTTGGTTCCACGAGGTCATATTCAACATGGTTGGTAGAGGGGCAAAATATTCATATGCATTGAATGATTTTATGAAAATTAATATGCGGGTACTAAAACAAGGTACCCAGACTCCAACCCACAAACTACTCAGATGTGGTGGTGCGTTCGATTCACAACTCTGTCTATATGATTTCAAATGAAAGGCAGGGGCATGGCGTATCCCGACAAACAGCAGAGAAAACCTCGCTGATGTTTTCATAGGAATTTAACCACTCTTGTGTGATAACCAGCTGTTGGAAAGATTTTCAACCGTAATCTTCGCTTAGAGATGCGCCATGCAGCTGCTATTTCTTTGCTTTTCCAGCACTTTACCTGTGAGATAGTTCAAGTACCAAGTGTCCCTCGAATTATATTTGAAATTTCATTTTCTAACGCTATTCTCATCCGAAGGCTCGTTGAGACGGCAAGGCTATTTGGCTGTTGTTTGAATGAATGAGAAAGTGCGGTCTTCGAAGCTATTTCTAAACGATAAACATCATCAGCCACGTCAGAATACAGAATCAGGCCGAAGTGACACACTTTCTCCGGCTTTCTACCTATTCCGTTTCTGAGTTGGAGTCTGGGTAAACCACGTTCCTCATGTCGTAGGGATTCTAATTTTCTGTTTTCCAAAAATGATATGCCAAAAAGTAATAAATAGAGAAGAGTAACAGATTCAATATAGACTTCCTTTCTCCTCCTCTTGTCACCTAGACGTTACTCGTTCAGATGAAGTGCACACGCTCACTTGTCTGAATGTGCCGAATCTCACATGGCCTAGAATTGGGAAGAAGATGACGATAAGAGATTTCATCAACAATATTGCTCACACTGGTGTACACTATAAACGTGATCTGCTCAAAGCACTCTACAACAGCATCAAAGAGCACGAGATTGTTCACGCAAGGTACGTGCAACCAGACAGCAGTGTTAAGAGAAGGGGCGTATCCGTACGAAGATAGTGCGCTATGACTGGAAGAGAGTATTCTCGGGCCTCAGCATAACCAAGCCTTTTGTGCGCCGTTTCGCGGCTGGGACTATCTGAAATGTTGGGGAGGGGATGGGGTCCCCAACGGTCGACGGTTTACTTCAACTCGGTTGGTACGATAGGAGAGTACTGACGCAAGTGGTGCAGCTGGTCCAGCAGCTCCGCCAGAAGGGCTGGTTTGCTCACCCCAGGACTAAGCCTTGGAGAGGGGACGGACCCGTCCTCTCTTTAAGGCTTAGTTCTGAGGTAAGCACCAAATTGTGGCGGTTCTAAGGACCGAGTTGAAGTGGTCCGTCCACCGTCGGGGACTCCATCCCCTCCCCAACATTCAGCATACGGTCCCAGCCGAAGCGCCAAAAGGGCTGGTTTGCTTACGTCGTTCGTATTCCCCGGGTCTCCAAGCAGGGAGTTTATTTATGATTTTTTTATTCTGGAAACAGCCATACTTCTTCCAACTCCACCTGCTCTAAGGGCAGGTTCCATTATGGGTTTTGAGCGATACCACTCCATGACTGGGGAAGGTATTTGGGTATACCATCGCATAGCTTTCAAGCGCTTCGCATGAGCAGCAGGGGCCTATTACTTTAGCTCCGACCCTGTGGATGGCAGGGTGTGTTTCTAAGCCAGGACTTGAGTCTGCAACGGATTGGTAACGTGGGGCCGGCTAATCCCTCCATTCAGTGGGCTACACCTCCAAGCTCGTCATACATGGCTTCCATAACTCTGTCTAACAGCAGCTAAGGACTATCTAGGTGCTCTTAATCACTTTAACAGCTCACTCATAAAAAGACAAGTGTTTGTGTCACGCTGTACGATCCACAGGGCCGGGCCCTATTTTCGTAGTCAACGGGGCCAATTTGTCTCGCATGGCGGACCCGCCTGTGTAGATCCTTCAGCGCACTACGGTATTCACGCTCATTTTATGGACCAGCTCAAATTTATTTGGCCAGACAAGATCACCTCCACTTATTATAGCATAGAGCGTCCAGGGGAACAGTTGCGAGGGTCGTTTTGAAGTGTCACTTTTTTCAGCAAGTTCGAGAAACCAGCGAAAAGAAGCAATTCGAAGCGATCTTGTGTCTCTCGTCAGGTGAGACTATAGAAGTAATCAATATTGCAAATCAATGACGAATTTCAATTTCAGCTGCTACTCGAAGTAGATCCTGAATCGCAGGTGGAATACAAATGTGGTTATATCATGCGAAAATGTGTTTATGATGCAGATGGCGCAAAAAGTGAGTGTCCCAAAAGTCGCGCATATTTTCTCTTACCAGAGCTGTGGGCTTTCCGTTTTCACCTCTAAATCAATGTTTGTACTGGATTTTTACATAGTTTTTGGAGATCTTGAACTATTTAATTACCTTCTTTATCGATTGGCTCGCTGTTTTAGCTCCATTTGGTCGTCGAGGTTGGCGTGAATGGTACGCACGTCTTCGTGGCCTGGCGCTTTACCTTGGAAGAGATGATAGCGATAAGAAACGGAGCAGGTTAGGCTCATTGACTTCAATTTCACCTAATGGACTACTGATTGGTTAGGCGATGATAATCGATTTTTCGCTCTAGATATGAAATGTTTAATAATGCGATATTACTCCATCATGCGTTTGCCGAGCCGGCTCCAGACTACAAAAAGAAGCAGTACATATTCCGATTGAGAACCGCCGATCTGGGCGAATTCCTATTCCAAACTACGTGAGTCACTGCAGTCATTCCATGTCTCAGAAGTATCGCAGGGAGTCCTCTTTACAGTAGTGCTGCGGAAGTCGATGACTGGGTTAACCAGATCAACTTCGTCTGCGCCCGATTCTCATCGAGGGCGTTGCCGCCTCCGGCCTGCTCGAACGAACGGCACCTTCTCGAGGATTCGTTTGCCAAAGTTGCCCAGCTCTGCCCCGTTGGCCCAGCAACTCAAGGTAACGGTCGTGCCTCCGTATGAATTTTTGGTGCTTTCAGCATAATGAAGTATGTTGTTAAGGCACACGAGTCGGCTGCCTGTGAACTCCGAGAACAATTGGCTCGTGTTCGACAGGAGGCACCGCCGTTGAAGTCAAGAGGACGACCTGTTGAAGAGTTTTTTCTTCAAAGAACGGTACTTAACTCAAGAGGTGCGCAGAAACCATTCAATTATTCATGAATTCCTTAAAATCTACAGCATTCCTTCATTGCACTTTCTGCCCTCTTCGCCTTTGCTTAGGTTTTCTCTTTTCTTTTTTTTTACCCTCAATAAAAGCCTGACTTCACCACGCCCGGAAGTAGGCGCAGGCTCATAGCATGGTACGATGAGCCTTATGCTATGTACGTGCTTGTGGGTAAAAGCCTCAGTTCGAAGAGCAGACAGAAGCAAACAGGCTGTAACCGACTGCACGAAATTGCTGGCGTGGGTGCTAGCCCCCGACGCAGGGTCAAGCCCTATGTTGAGACAAGTACCAATGGAGGGGGGTCGTACCGAATTGTGTGAATTTGTGGTATCGCGTCACGCTAGCTTCGGAGCACGAAGTTGCATGTAATGAGGTGAGAGCCACCCCTCCGCTCGACGGTGTTTTTGAGGGAAGAAGAATTCGTGAAGAAGGGGTCGTATGAAATCTCTCATGAATGGGGCGGGTCGTAAAAATTTTGCAAACAGTCACTCAACAGTAAGGTGGACTGCCCCGAGCGTAGCCTTGTCCATCTCGCATGCTTCTCGTCACTAATCGCAATGGCGAATCTGGCGGGATAGATGCACCGTGATGTGAAATATGATAGATTCCCCGTCTATTGACCGTAGGATAGTCGGTGTTGGACTCCAGCTGGTATTTAGAAATTACAAGAACATCGATTTCCTCTCCAATGCATACCCAGAAGTTGTTGTATAGACCATATGAGCTATCAAATGTCATCGATTCTGAAAGGGAGTCAGACATGTGGCGTATCTCAAAAGGGATCAATCAACGCCAGACATTTTATCTTTAACAGCGGATCGAACTTTGACCCCTGTGATTTCAGATACAGCGCTACGACACCTACTGCCATCTGTCTGCGAATTCCTCGTCTGCCTGGTGGCCGGTTGTGAGTGGTGCGAAGACTCCTTCCTGATTTCAAACTGCTCAGGAGTGCATTCCAAGTCAGACATCGCCGATGAACTTGACAAAATGAGCTATCGAGAAGCAATGAATCACTGAGGGCTGGCATTCGGAGCTTTTTGGGACCTTGCCAGCCATTTTATCGCTTGATTTCCAAGGTTTTCATCGACTCATCGGAACTCCAGTACCAAAATTATGTATGGGTTACCTGACCCTTTGTGTTGAACATCGCTTTACTTCTGTAACCCCTACCCTATGTGCTATACTTTCTCAGAGAGAAGGCTATCGTTATAGCCTTCTGATGTTTTCTTTATTCTTTCTATCTGTTCAGATATTTTCGAGCCAGTACAGAGTAGAATTTTATTGCCGGTGCTCAGCAACCTATAAATAAACACAATAGTTTTTCCATGGCTTATAGAACTTCCAATTTATACATTATAGGTTGACTCGAGTTTGGCCATTTGCCAGTTTCAATATTCGTAATAAGGTCTGTAGTCAGGGAACATTCTATTCATAAATTCATTGCCTCTGCAAATATTATTGTGATGCTTACGTATCTTTCTGTGCTATCTCATCGATTTGACGCGCACCGGTCAGAAAACAGACAACGAGTGTGCGCACTTCCTCTGCATCTCTAGCCTAATCGATAAGATGGCATTGAGTGTGTTTGTGTGTGCGTGTGTGTCAGCGACTCCTACACGTTTCTCCCACACGTGGAGAATCGCTGTCGGTACTTTGGCGAGCGAACGGGTCGGCCGATCGATTTATCGATTATTTGTTCGTTTTTATACTTACTATCGCCTTATCAGCATTCTTATCATCCCTCAACGATCAATCGCCTCCTAAAACATAATCATTCGCAATTCTTATCGTAACTGCATCATAATAAAACAACATAGCTTACGTGCTGTAAAATGGGTTATTACTGTTAATCGACTGCTACTGAATAACAGTATTGATCGATACAGTAATTATCTAGTATCGAGTGCTTTTAGGTGATTTCCGGGATATTACTCTGTATTTCTCCTTTTATCTCTTCCACTTTTTCTTCGTCTTACTAGTGGTACTTGTATTTTACCAGGTGTTTTATAAGTCTTCATAAGTACGTCAATATGTGGCCCGTGGATGCTTATAAAAACTGCTGATTTCTTTTATTATGCAGATTATTTCTATTTGGATAGTAAAAGCTCAATTTTCTTGTTTTGTGGTTCTTTGATTCTTTTCGTTGGTAGCATGGCGCATTCCCCTAGTGCAAACCAACCAGCGTTTGAAGAATAATGTTGAAGGTCGAAGAAGGGGAAACTTATCTAGCAGACAGGAGAACGCCCCGCCTCCCTCCAAAGCTGCGGACCGGACAAGCCCAGCAAAGGATATGCCCGACATCCGTGCAATGGCCAAATCCTCACGGGCAACGCCCATTCGACTAGTCAACGCGCGTCGCACTCAAAGTTCTAAGCCCGTTCGGCAGAGAGAGCCGTTAGCGTTTGAAGAGTGGTAAGCTAGGATGAGAGTGGCACCAATGCGGAAGTTAGCGAGCGTTGAAGGAGTCATTTCTCGGATTCTGGACCGTTTCTCGAGATTTTTTCATTAATTCCGCCATCACTAATCACCTCTACCTTAATGATGGGCTGCCTTCTCATTGTAAACTCCGCCTTTAACTACTCAGTTCTTGAAGTTGCACCTTTTCGGAACAGAGCTTCACTGTGCTTGTTCGTGGGAGCTACCTCTTTTAATAATAACTTAATCGTCGAAAGTTTGGCTGACCGATCCATGTTCTTTGACCTAAGCAGTTCCCTTCAGGACCATGACCCTCTGTAGAGCAGTTCCTTTTTCATAACACACTTATCCGCCCGAATTAAAGGGTTTCAGAAATGTATTGCAGAGAGCATGGTCAAAATAAGAAAAAAAGATATTTTCCGCCACAACTGAAAGAGACTTAATTACAATTTTTCAAGTACAAATGAATGCTCCCAGGGAAATTGAAAAGCTTCCAATCCATAGAAAAAAAAATCTCGATAGTAGTGTTCTACACGGACACCTTTAGGAAAATTCGGGTGTACGTGAACAGAATCGTCCGGAGCCGCTTGCTACTGGTCGTGGACGCGACAGTGGACGAGCTTCTGTGAGCGCCATTTGAAATTCGATGTTACAGGAAGCACCAAACTCAACCCGTCGTTGAACACTACTTCAATCAACGCGCGGATAATTTTAGTTCTCTCGGATCCTTCTTTCCGCTTTTTTCAATGTTGCGATAATAAATTTGGGAACTACAAAGTTTCCAGATTCGCGTTCCACATAGATTATCGTGGGCTCCAGTTCAAATTCAAGAAACTGCCGCGTCCATCGGAAAGGTGCCGCGTCGCGACGCCGCGCAAGTGGCCGCGTGCGGTGACGTCACTCTCGGACGATCCTGTTGACCGCTCTCCCGGAGAATTCGAACACGGGACATGGTGAAGCGGTCGAGCACGAAAGGGAATGTCAACGGTCGTGAACCATTGAACGTTCGGTGCACGAATGCCTGTCCTGTGACGCGTCATTTTTTTTACGTCATGACGTATTAAAAACGTGATTGCAGTGAACGAGGGCCTGGTACTTAGCCGAGCCGTCGCGTGCACGAAAAACAGAAGCGCAGACCGGGTCAGCGCATTGAGTCCAGCACGTACTGTGGTCCAATGTCGCGTCCAATAAAGGCACGGGTCGGGAATTAAAGCGATCAAAGGAACCTCTACTGTTCAATACTATGCTGGGTCTGCAACCATATGGTGACTCCAATCGTGCAGCTAATAACACATCCTGGCCTAAAGCATTTAGGAACGAGTGAGCTATGACTGCCCCCGCTGAAGAGGTGCGGGCCTGTCCATAAACTGAATGCGCCTGGGTGGGCATGAGCTGAAATGAGCTGGATTGATCAGATCGCCAGTCCAGAACTCGCTGAACATGCAGTCTTCCTAAGGCATCTGCCTTCTCGACGCCAGCTAAGAGGCAGGCCTTCTTCACTTAGCGGCGTCGACAGAAGGCTGCCTCCAAAGGAAGGACTAGCATTTCCAAGGCGAGTTTATTTTCGGTCATGTCGACGTCTTCCCTCCCCCTCTTTTTCACGTGGTGTCCCACTGCACCTCTGGCATTCAACTTTCATAAGACGCAAAAATCTTCCCACCGCTCCGACCCCGCCGTGCCTTCAAATAAAATGCACAGAGCGCATGCAACCTCGTCCGGCTGACCCGTCCGCATCTCTTGACTTCTCACCGCTGCGCATGCTTTCCCGGCCCTGCCCCCCCCCCTCGGGTACATGAATATTTTTCATCAGAACAGGCGGACTCCCTAAACGAGCTCTAGCCGCATTCCCGCTGAAGCGAAATGCCCCTTTTCGGGGGCGTTTTTCTCAATAAAACTTGGACTTGGGAGAAGTTTTATCAAGTTTTCTACTGAAGTCTCTTCAAACAACAACATTGATAAGACTAGTCAGCTTCACGGTATGTTTCATTTTAATCTGAAGCTCTCGACAGTAAGTGATGTGGCGAAGGGGTTGAAAAATGTCGGCCAAGGATGAGAAGGATTTGAAGACTCCACGCTCACCACAAGGCTCTAAGGATACGACTGATGTGAAAAGCGGTACTAAGTCAGCCCGAAGCGGCTCCAAGTCGCTGACTAAATCTCGAACCTCGAAATCGGCTACAACAACTCAAACAACGCAAGCTGACGATGGCGGCGATGAAGGTACACCAGTCCATGGAGCGGCTTGCATTGGTGTCTGCTAAGTCTATCTAACAATTTCTTGTTCAGAGAAATCCGTGAAGATATTGGTTGCAAAAATTTGCAAATCTGATGCATCCGCTGAAAGGGTGGAACTTAGCAAAGAACTGGCACATCATTTGGCCACTGGCAGTAAGTTGTTCCGCAACCTAATTGCTCAAGAAAAAGGGCAAAAATGCTCCCGAAATTGTGGAGTTGGTAGAATTTTTGAGGCAGCGTTCAGAGTTGGCGATTGTACACGCGATTAGGCGGGTAGGCGAGGAGGCGATTAGGCGAGTGGGTAAGCGAGAGCGTGAGCGTGCGATACGAAATGGATACGTACAAATTCACTTGCTTGGACCAACGAACGATGGCCTAATCGCCTAGTCGCTTTATCGATACGTATCCCTTTCCTTTTAGGCTAGTTGCTTCATCTCCTGATCGCATGCGCAATCGCCAACTCTGAATGCGCCTTAGCTAGTTTACACATCCTCATTGCTGCGGGTAGACGGTTAGGGAATGTTTATTGGTATATGAAGCATATCGCGCGGTATATGAGCATATCGCGCCATCATGTACGGCGGTAGAAAACGGGGGGTGTGTAGCAGAGTATAAATTGAGCCTCGCGCGCAAGAAAAATTCGCTGTGTTATTTCAGATATGGCGATATCGCGAGAGACGGGGCCACTTGCGGCAGCAATGCATTTGAAAAGCATCAAATATATCCATTTCGTAATTTCCATTTCCATTCCGACTAATCGTAAGCTTTAGGAAGAGGTTGGGGGAGAGGGACTGCATAGTGCGCGAGCAACTTTCATTTTCGAGCTTCTCCTTCTAGACTTATGGTTCTCGCAAAGAGATTTTGCTGCGTACCATTTCATGCTCCTCACACATATCGCGAATGAGAAAACAAGTTCTAATGCTGTAGAGTAAGGTGGACGCTATGGCGTAAACTGGCCTAAGGATGTAACCAATAGTCGTCGCGCGCAACGATGAATAACGCAGACGCGGCAAAGGGACGAGTCGCAGCGCATACTGTAGCGATTAGGCGTCAGGGTAAAGAGAGTGTACCATAACTACGTCTCATATCGCACAGCACGCGCTGCACTCGTCCTCTTTGCCGCATCTGCGTCTCTTGCTTCGCCGCGCGATGGACCTCTGGAATCCCCATGAACCCTACGTTACTCACGCAGCTAAAGTGAACTGAGCAAGCGCAGAGCTACGGTGTGCTGAGCGTGAGCGCAGACGGGCACAGCACAAACACATCTTAGCGGCAATCCGAGCATCTAGCCCCAAATGCAAGTTGATTAACACGAACGGCCAAAGTGGTTGCTGTAAATTTTTGTCGCGCCTGGTGCTAAGCACGAT